TATTTCATAGCAGTACGTTCACCGCTACCTTGATAGCAGCCACTTCTGTCTGAAAATTCATGGATATCTCCTAACAGTAAACTCTCCCGTCAACTTTCTCTCCATGCATCGATCTAACCGCGAAAAAGCTCACTGCGACTCTGTTCCAGCGACTTCTCTCCATCCACATCTCCCTCGTCGGTATGTGAGCAGAGAAAAAGCCGCCGCGGGTGGCCTCTGCAACGCAGTGATCCAAGTTTTCAGGAATGCTTTTGAAGGAGGAAAGAACTTCGTCGTGTCTTTATTCAGATTCCTTTATAAACCCAACTTTTCTGAGCCTTAGAGCACACTTCGCAGCAATACACCTTCTGGTCGAGGGGAGTTATGTTTATAATGGCATTAAGTACCAATGTTGGTGTGGTCCGTCGTGCACCGGAGATGCCGATAAGAGCCGCTTTTTGGACACGTTCAAGCGTTTTAGCATGTGCAGCTTTTTTGAGCGCCTACCACCAGATGAATACACCATCGAACATTATTGGTTTGACTACGGTTTCGTAGTGCCAAAACACTAAATTTAATGAGAGTCTCCACTTTTTCCCTATAGGTCTTCTACAGCAATATAAGTCAACCGATGACTTCTTTACTCTTTCCTCAATATTTGGACCCCATGAAGGCTTTCTATCAAGGATAAGCCCTAGGTATTTCACCTTATATATATGAAAATTTAGTACGATAATCTGATATTGTGATTTGAAATCAAAAAACCGGGTATATTCTCAATCAGTACAAATGTCAAATATGGTTTTTTGAAACAATGTCAACTTAGCCATTTCAGTGGCGTCTCATGGCGACCTGGAATGCACTTATGTACATACTGTTCACAAATACGGCAATTTCGTTATCGCATCCAGATCATGGGATGCAGAGCCCGCTGGTTTCTATTTTGAATGTAAAGCGTCACTGATTCCTTGATTTGTTTCAGTTTGTATCGTTTCTTGGTTAAAATTAACAAAAGTTGTTGTTCACACAGGGTGGGTGCCATCAAATCAAAAAAACAAGTTTAATTTTTATGCTTTAATTTTTCGCTCTAAACAATTTTTCCTTTATTACTTTCATATAGCATTCATACAAATAATCATTATATTATTTAGTACGTTTTTTAGTAAACAGCTCAAATGATAAACTTAATACTATTTTGCTTTCAATGTATACATATGTATGTTTATATTATTACTAAATGAAATTTTCGCAAAACCTTCTGCAATATCTTGAGTATAATTTTGCAAACATGCAACCAGTAATAAATTTTCAATATTACGCCCTATATGTATATATATATTTATGTACTATATTTAATTGTCAACTAATATATAAATTAGTATATGTTTATTATATATTAGCAATTTTTTTTTTGTTATCATTAACTTACTTATTAACTCCGTAGCAATTTCAGGCGGGGCAAAGAGGGTTGGCGCAATTTTATGCTTAAGCCACGAAGCTTACACAGATATACATACATACATATGTATTTATATATAATATTTTAACGATTTTGTAGCAATTCTTTTCATAACTACTTTTTATACAATATATATGGCAAGTATGTATATATATGAACAACTTTGGAATATATATATATGTATACACACGCATATATATGTGTATGTGTATATTTCATGAACTGCTAATATTTGGTAATTTTCTTTTTGTCTAATTTATGATTTTTTAATTCAATTTTGTTTATAACAATTTTAATTGGAATCGCATTGCATGATATGTATGTTAATATTTTTTGGAATCAACTCATTTAATCTAACCACTTTCTTTCACATATATTTATATATGTATTACTTTTCTCAAATACACTTAAGCATAATTTAAATTAAGATTTGATTTTGAATTTTGGTCTTCAATCAATCCAAATAGAGACTTTTAGGTATAAGTTCCCGTTAGTTACCTAATATGTATATAGCATAAGTTTTAGGTATTTATTCACTTTGCTAATTTTGTTTCAAAATTTAATTTTTATTTATTTATATTTACAGCTCTTATGAGTAATTTATTTACATTATATGTATATGCTTTCTATGTACCGTTTTTACAGAACTTGTTTTTAATTTCATTGAATTTTGTGCATACAGTCTTTCATATCATACAAGCAGCGTATAATCGTTGCTTAATTCATTTGATGTGATGACTTAGATTATGGTTTATATATTCTGTACCTATATTAATAAAAACTAAAGAACATTTTTTTATAAACTACCTAAATTATTTGTAAAAATTTGAAATTATTTTGAGAGAGAAACAAAAAAGCCTTTCGTAACTTCGGCAGTTTGACACCTTCTTCTTTATACTTGATGTACATATTTCCATACAAGGCCAACTCAAAATCCCTTAAATATGGTAAAAATCATAGTATGTTGAAACCCATTGGAAAAGGTAGATAAAATAACAAAAATAAAAGGAAACACAAGAAAGAACGTTAACTTCGTTTGCACCGAAGCTATAATACTCTTTACAAATACAAAAGATTCTTTACAAGTAATTGATTTTGATCGGTGATTTAGTATGGCAGCTATGTGCTAAAGTGGTCCGATCTGAACAATTCTTCTGGAGATTGCATTATTGTGTTAGACAATAACTCGCGCCAAATTTAGTGATGATATCTCATCAAGTAAAAAAGTTTACCATACCAGCGCCAGATTCCGATCGCTCGGTTTGTATCGCAGCTATATGCTATAGTGGTCCGATATCGGTCGTTTCGGCAAGTAAACAGCTTCTTATTGAGAAAGGATCGGGTGCAAAATTTCAGATCGATATCTTAAAAACTGAGTGACTGAATCGCATATATAAAAACAGGCGGACAGACAGACGGAAGTGACTAAATCTATAGAAATATATCTTTTATAGAGTATGTGACGTTTGCTCTTGGGTGTAACAAACATCATGGCAAACTTAATATACGATTAGATCCTGTTTAGGATATATAATATAGCGTGGTTTCGAACCTCATTTTCTCACCAAAGGCTAAGCTAAGGCGCTCACCTTTTCTACTATTGGCTTTACATTTTGGTAATTTTTTGTCAATTTCGAAGTAAGCTCTTTAATTGTTCAACTGTTTTATTTCAAATGTAAAATCTTTTTGGCTAAGAAATATTTGTGCAAAAAATTAAGGTTATACTATCTTTAATAATCATCTTTAATAAAACAAAAAAAAATTTTTGTGTTTTGAAAGTAAAATAAGTCATAAGTTAACGCAGTGAATTAAGTAATTATCAGCCGATTGAGTGTTAAAGTATCACCTATTTTTGTTCATTCAATTTGCATAAAAACTGTTTCTTTTTAGTACGACCAAGTAAAAATATTTAATACAAATTTAAAAATACACAACAATTTGCACTTGCCTATTGGCATATATAAAAGAGCAAATGTTTGTGGATATTTTTTGTGTCGCGCTTCTGATAAGATGTTGAAATCTCGCGAAGATCAGTTAAATAAGAACTGCATTTCTTTGAGTTATATGTTTAAATTTGATAATTTATCAACCGAGAAATTAGGAAAGGGTATTCATAATAGAATCCTTAAAAATAAAAAATGTCAAATGTCAAGTAAAATAAGATGTCCGTTAGTACCCAAGTTGATTTTTTAGGTTTTGTTCTAAACAAAAGGAACCAGCGTAAACAGGCACTTTATTTTCAAATTAAATCGTGCCTAAATAATTTTACTTTTCCCATATATATCATAAGGTACTTTTGCAATATATCTTTTATCTCTAAAGTAAATCTACCTGCAAATTCAGGAGAATGATAGAATGATAATAATATGTATAATAAGATAATAAATTTCTGCTCTACAAAAAAGGTCTTAATAATTGTATACATACAGTACGCCATGTCGTATGAGCAACACAGAATATATAAATCACTTGAATGAATGTGCCGGCCATTTGATACATAAATTGAACTGTGCACATGTAAATAAATGATTTTAATTTTCTTGTAGAGAGGAAAATTTTATATGAGAATACCACACGCCTGCTTAATGCAAAATATAAAAAATCCCAAGTTATAAACGTGAAAAGAAATATGCTTTATGCACCGTTTGAATTAAAAATAATAAGCTCGTTTACATTGAAACCTTTTTGTTTAGGGAAAAACGAAAACTTCAGAGCTAAAAACTCAACTTGGGAAATAACGGACACCCTAAAATAACGGTACATTTTTTTTGGAGATTTGGGTAAAAAAATATAAAATTCAAAGATAACGTACAAAAAATCAAATATATTTAATTTAATTTTTCTACTTCTAGCATATATATAAATATATACAGGTTGGTTGAAAAGTTGGTTGGTTTCACCTAGAAATAGCACTATTAGCTCTAAATATTTTTTTCTAAAGTTGATACACATGCAAATTTACAAATCGTTCTGTCAATTAATTCTTTGTTTACAAGCCATTTGAAGTTGACATATTAGAGTATTTTTTTAATATGGAAAAAATTTAATATCGCGCAGTGATTAGATTCTTAGTTTTGAAAGGTTTAGAAGCAAAGGAAAATTATGAACAATTTTTAGAAGTGCATCGTTGAACTTTGGGCTGGTGAATTTAAACGTGGTCCTACTAGACTTGAAGACGATCCACATGAAGGATGACCAAAAACCGCAACCACACCAGAAATCATTGAGCAATTTTATAATATTGTTAATGAAGATCTAAGTTTGACTAAGCGTTAAATTGTTAGTGCCATAGACATCTCAGATAAACGATTCCTTCAAATTTTACTTGGAGAATTAATTTTGGTTTGCAGCAAAAAAAATCATTCTTCATCAAGACAATGCACCTGCACACAAAGTTGTTTTATTCACCAGATTTGGCTCCCAGCGACCACTATCTCTTCAGAAGCCTGAAACAATTCCTTCGTGGAAAGCGTTTTTCGTCGAATGAATAAGCTATTGCTATTACAGCCGTAGACGGGTAATTTGCAGAGCTTCCGGAAAATCATTATAGAGATGGCATAAAATTATTGGAGGATCATTGGAATAAATGTATTGAAGTTAAGTGAGATTATTTTGAGTAAAAAAAATTTATTTCGTACCAAAAACAGTAATTTTTCATTCCGAGCGCAGAAACTGTTCAACCAATCTGAATATTACACAAATATATATCGGCTTGCGTACATATTTTTGCATCAGGAAGCATTAATTTACATTTTCACTTTACATATAACTATGTTTATACTTATTATATATTAATAATTATTTACAAAAATTTCAAGCTCAAAATTAATTAGTTCTAAACTAAACAATTTAAATTATTTTCCAACATAATTTTTTTTTCAAATATGTACCTTTTAAATTTCTATTTATTATATTTCTTTATAAGTTTTATATTTTTAACTTTGTAGAATTTACCAATAAAACTAAAGAATTGCAATATATATACATTTGCTTATCATTGCTAACCTGCTTATGTGCTCTACAATTTTAACTTGCAATATGGCAACCACTTAATACTCGCAACTTACACACTTGCACAAATTCATTGCAGCAATATTTGCATACAAGCACATACAAATCATATTCACCAGCTTACAGTAAATCCTTTTAGCCTTAACAGTTACTCATACGTCAACGCAACCACAATGTCATCAGTGTATCAGTAGCTCTGCGCTCAGCAACTGTCAGACGTCAATCAGTACCGCAACTTTTCTGAACAGTAACAACATTGTGAACAACGCCATTGTTGTCACTGTCAATTTATGTTGTTGACAATACGTTACAGCCGCAGCAGCTGAGTCGTAGAAACCATCATCCAATTCGTTGCCAAGCATCATATCTGGGTAGGAATAGAAAGAGAGAGAGAGAGAGAGAGAGAAAAAGAAAAATTGTTGTAGAGATATTAAGTAATATATTTTTGAGACTTCGATTTAGTGAAAAAGTGATAGTTTCATGATATATATAGGAATATATGTAAATAAATAATGCTGTGTGAGTGTGTGATGAATTTACAAAGGTCAATGGCCTCGTATTACGAAAAATTTTAAAATTATACTTTTGAAAATATGAAAGATTATATACACTTGCAAGTAAACAAAAATGCATTTTTTTCGATTTTTTATTAACAGACTATTTATTTATTAAATAAGTAAAAATAATGTACATTTGGAGAATTTAAGAGGTTATATCCACTTGTAATTTTCAAAAATTAGAATGTACATGTATTTCTCCGAAAATTTCAAGTTCACCCGACAAATAGTTTCGGAGATATGACCGTATTAGTAAGGACGTCTCCGAGGGATAACAATCGAAAGTAGGCCCAAAACTTCAAATGCGTTTTTTTTGAAACGCTGTTTTCGGAGTCGATGAGGAAAATTTCTCCGAAATGCTGAACCGATCGGCTTGAAATTTTCACACGACATTCTTAAATATATTTTTCAGGTAATAATAGCGTAAATAAGATTTTTGACAATAATTTCTATTCTTTAAGCCACTTTTAATTGTAAATTTTCGCACAAAAAATGAATTTTTTTAATTGGGAAGCCGCCATTTTCACAAAAATTAAAATTTTCACTATTTCTTCGAACGTTACGGATATTCATCTATCATAATACTAAATTTCATTGGTTTTTGGTTTCAGTTAATATGACGCCAAAATATCTTCCTCACCGCCAGACACCTTTTTCCGCAGGTCCTTCTGGAGATCGGCTACTTGAGCGAATATTTTTAAAACTTAATCGTTGATCGCTCCAGGTGTTATTACACCATTGCCACGTCCACAAAACGCCATTAGTAGAAAACATATGAAGTGGCAAAACTAAGCTCTATAATAAGATACAAGACGCTAACTTAGTACAAGGAATCGTATTAAAAAGGGATATCTGTGGTATGAAAGTCTTTAAAAAGTGCTTGTCCACATATTTTCTACGCTGCTAAAGCCATAGTAACTAAATTCGCCCAGGACATATCTTTTAGACTCTGCTATCGACAGTGTGACCCTGCTCAATTTTCAAATAACGTTTTTATTAAATACTGATAAATCGATAACTAAATACATCACAGAGATCACGATAGTGCGTTTAACGTGTGCCACCCTATGATCAAAAAACCATTCTTTGGACAATAGCGGTCAATCTGTGCGATGTATTATTGAAATTCGGACACAATAAAGTAGGTGAAAGTGTTTATAGTGTTTATGGTCCTAATACTATAACAACCAATCAGCCACAATGTTGGTCGATTTAGTTCTAGTGATTTTGATATTAAAGATGGTTCCGACCTTCTTGTAAGCACTGTATTGATTGCCCAGGAGCTAACATTTTACAAAAAACCATTTTGAAACATTGGACTCGAAACAAAAGGAAGCCACGTTCTAGTCCTTCCCAGACATCAAGTGCTTATAACCAATTCCTGTCTATGACGAATTAATTTATTGGTGAAAAGTTCAGAAAAAAGCCTCAGAAAAACTTTGCGTATATCAGCACACACCTTTATAATATTTAATCGGCTTATACATGTAATTGTTGTACTTCTTTGAAAAGAGTCCGCTTTTAAATTTACTTGAGCAGTCCTTACTAAAATTTAGATTGCTAAATTGTTAAATTTAGCATTTTAAATATTACGACTTCAATTGTGATATTTGCTTTGACACAATAATATCAAACACATAAATGTTGCTTTTTCGGTGATGTAGATAAATATGAGTACAACTCGCTTTTCGTGAATCATTTATAGTTTAAATTACTATTTGACATAAATATAATACGGACATCACTTTTTTTTGGAAATATTTCGAAAAAAAATATATATATGAACTACGTCTATCTCTGTCAATAATGTTTTATTTGAAAAGCTTAATTGTCTCTTGTAACACTATTCATGTGGCAAGCTTTCAATATAATATGTATATATGTAAAGGGTGTTTTTTTAAGAGGTATAGAACTTTACATTGCAATAAAACAACGATGGATTATTCGATTGACATGCATTTTATTTATTCGAAAGATAATCTTGTGGCATTACATTTTAAATATGATTTCTGGCATATGACCACCACGGCTGGCTCGGATGTAGTCCAATCTGGACTCCCAATTTTTGATGACTTTTTCCAACATTTGTGGCCGTATATCGGCAATAACACCTCGAATGTTGCCTTCCAAATGGTTAAGCGTTTGTGGCTTATGCGCATGGACCAATAACTCTACATAACCCCACAGAAAGTAGTCTAGCGGTGTTAAATCACAAGATCTTGGAGGCCAATTCACAGCTCCAAAACGTGAAATTAGGCGGTCAACAAACGTGTCTTTCAATAAATCGATTGTGGCACGAGCTGTGTGAAATGTTACGCCGTCTTGTTGGGACCACAGCTCCTGGACATCATGGTTGTTCAATTCAGGAATGAAAAAGTTAGTAATCATGGCTCTATACCGATCACCATTGACTGTAACGTTCTGGCCATAATCGTTTTTGAAGAAGTATGGACCAATGATTCCACCAGCCCATAAATCGCACCAAACAGTCAGTTTTTATGGATGTAACGGTGTTTCGACATACACTTGAGGATTAGCTTCACTCCAAAAGCGGCAGTTTTGGATGTTGACGTAGCCATTCAACCGGAAGTGCGCTCGACGATAAAAGCAACATAGTGCGCGATACATATTCCGCAGAGAACCATTATTTTCGAAATAAAATTGCACTATTTGCAAGCGTTGTTCTGGCGTGAGTCTATTCATTATGAATTGTAAACACCTCAAAACAATTCTCGCCAAGTATGAGAATTTAAAATAAAAAGAAAGGTCTTCCGATTTTCAGTTTCCTAATTTTTCCTTATTATTGGGAAGGAAATTTCGTATCTCAGTCTCTACTATTTGAAAACGTACTCAAAAGAACAGAACTTAAGTGTATTGATTGTACTTTAAATTAAATAAAAAAATATTTGAATTTCCTTAACAATTAGTGTGTTTTTGTTTTTTAGTCATATCACTCTTATTGGGAAAACATTTATGTAGGTAGTGTTGCCACAATATTTTTCTTTTTATACAAACAATTCAACAGAAAACTTTTGGCTTATAATGAACATTATATTGCATAACCGTCAATATACTAAATGAGTATAAAATTGACTCAAACCCCCCACAAAAAAAAAAAAAAAATCCAACGTGGATTATTTACAAATCATTAAATGGTCGTACAAAATTGGTTCGGTAGGCGTAAAAGACAAACATTGTGGACGAAGAATGGAAAAGAAGTGAACATTTATTGATATACAATTAGAAAGTTTGTGGTATAACAGCCAACTCAACGGTACTTCAAGTTCGGTGGTTATATTTGTACTAGAATTTTTTTGGTGTTTTTGTAAGTTTTTCTTTTTTCTTTCCTGCTCGTTTAGTCGAATAATTGGGGAGAAGGCAAACTGCTGCTTTGCTCAGCTTATGTTTGAGAAAAGATTTTTGGTCAGAGCTTACCTTATATTTGTTGTAGGTAAATGTGTGTCTCAAGTGGCCGATAATTTTTGGAATACCTAGTCTCACTCGTACAAATAGGTAAAAATACGAAGCACACTCTCATATTTACACATACAAGTACATACATAAATACAAGGAAGCAAAGTAAGCGAAAAGTTCAACCGGGTATTATTTGCAAGTAGTATTTGCAAAGTGTGGTTAGAGTAAGTGAATGAATAAGTAAGTAAATAATCTTAATCTGCTCACCTTTTCGTTTGCCGGGATTTTCCATATCCACGCTGCCGCCGTCGGACGCCTTCGACTGGTGATAGAGTTCCGAGCTCTTGATGCGTTTTTTGTTGTTGCCTAAACGCCGTGTGGAATTGTGGTAAACGCGTTAAAGAAAAGTGTAAATGTTGTGAAAAATGACTAAATAAATTGCACTTTCGGTTGAGTAAGAAATGCTTTCAAAGCGTAAATTATACATTTCATATTTCGTATGCAAAGAAAGACGATTAGTGCGGGCGCACAGTGGGCTTATTTGTTGTATATGTGTGTTAGGTGGAAAATTTGAGAGCTTAAAATATTGGAGCACTGAGCGGTGGATTTAAATTTACAGCCGCTTAAGAAATTATTTTTATGAACAAGTGCTCAGTTTAGCTCTCAGTGGCCTAATTTCATCCACATTTATATATTTAACAAGCTAAAAACATTTATTTTTTGGCAATTATCAAATGATGTATATATATACGAGTATTTGGGAATATTCGTCGAAAATTTTAAATTAATCTGGTACAAAGTTTTCTATGAAACGCTGTTTTGGGAGACCGATCGTCTTCAAATTTTCACATAACCTTCTTAGAAATACTGCCCAGGTAATATAAAGAAATTATTTATTAAATATTGATATAATTTTGGGTTTTTTATTTTGCTAATATATCTATTTATTTAGTTTTTGGATTTGAGATCATTTTAAGCCGAAAAATCTTCTTTATCGCCTGACGCTTTTTTCAGCGGTCCTTAAATAAATTGCCTCTTCCAAAAAGAAAAAAAAACGAAGTAGTGGATATAATTCTTTAATGAGTGTCTTAATAATTTAAATCCGTTCCTTTGTACTACACATTTCTTTGAAAGCAAAGTTATATCGCAAATATTTTGTTTTCAGTTTGGATCAAAACCTCTGTTAGTTAGGCAACCTTATCTCTACAGATAACCTATATAGGTAAGTAGAAGTCTGTTCAGCTTAGTATCACACATCTACAAATCTCCTGAATATATAATTTGGCATCCAACCTGGCATCCCTAAAAGCTGCTGTCCTATACTCTTCGGATGATTAACTAGTCGACAGACTATACGAGAAGCAGTAAGCTTATCTTATTCATATTATAATCGTACTTAAAAAACAAATTCAAGTTTACCATACAAGTACTAAATTTTGATCAATCATTTTGTACGGCAGTTATATCTTATAATGGTCCGATATCGCCTATTCTGACAAGTGAGCAGTGTCTTGGAAAGAAAAGAATACGTAAAAATTTCAGAAAGATATCTCAAAAATTGAGGGACTTGTTCGCGTATATATAGAGAGATTTAGATAAATTGACGAATTTAATGATCATTTATATAATACATATGGTACTTTATTGGACTCCGACGTTTCTTTCTGTGTGTTGTAGACTAAATATGGTACTAGGGTATAAATATAGATCAAAATTTAAGATTTATTTCACCGAATTTTGAAATACGCAGTAATCACATCTTAAATACATATTCTTTTCCTATTATCTATATAGGTATTTTATTTTATATCGCCTTTGCTGTTCTAGTCTTTCTTATGACTACATCTACAAAAAATTAATCTTACGACAGAAATTTCGATTTCAAACGGAACTACTGCTACAGAACAATTGAAATTATGACAAAAAATATTTTCGTAGCGCTAATTTATTGCAAACGTTACTTTTATTAAGACGATTAACTCAAAAGATTAAGCAAAAAGTTCCCAAAAATATTCGTCTTGAGGTTTATCAAGAAGATGCTGAACCTTTTGTAGCACCACTCATTGTTTGAACAATACAAAAGCAGCAATTTTATTCACTAAATTAAGCCGCTCGTGGCCTAAATGTTCACTCCGAGGAACGCAGCAAGAGTTCATTGAATGTTCATTAAAATAAACCATGGTTTCCGACGAATACATGTATAAGTATATATATATTTTCATCATAATTTGATTAAAAGTAATCCTTTATTTGCGGACATTAATTGAGTTGTATTAAGATCATTGATATAGTGTTAATACTCCAAGTAGTATTTAATAAGACGATATATATAATTTTTTCTGACATTATTTGAAGAACTAGGTTTTATATGATAACTTTGCTAAGTGCTTGTTTAAAAGAAAAGGTCAAAATAAAACCTTTGTTATTTCCGTATTACGTACTTTGTGCTTCCAAGTGGGACCCAAGTAAGCACCACTCAACAACTAGGTGGATTTGTTGCAATTCCTAAGCTTCTTTCTTATACCCAAGTGGTACAATTTTTCCTAGATTAGAATTTCGCTGTTCCAACTAAACCAGCTGAAGTTTGTGTATACGCAAAGGTAATGCTAATGCTTTATCATGGTTTGCACATGTTCGAAATTTTGCCGATTCAACTTTGCCAAGTCTCTGAAGTTGAGGTCTCAAAGGTCATATGACTAACGGTTTTCATTTCTAAAAGTACCATATTATTTTTGTGATACGAGCTGTATTTGTGGTTGTTTATGACATAAGGTCTTCCTTTAACGTCTTTTGCTTCAAGCAGAGATATATATTATTGATTATCTTAAGGTGTTTGCCTTCTCGACCTCAACGGGGCAGGTAAATACAATAAGCTGACAAAATTTTTTTCTTCTATTTCTCGATGGGTACATGAGTGTTGCTTTATATCCTTTACAATTACTAGTTAGGGTTATGAGGGTAAAGAGATATCCGGTCTTGAGTGAATGTTAGGCAATACTTATCTACAGGATGGCGCACGAATCGTGCTACAAAAGGAAACCGTATTAACTTTTTTCTTTTTTTTACTTTTTTTTATTTGACAGATTACTATCTAAGTTTTTTAAAATGAATGCTTTTGATTGGATAGTGCAGCGATACCATGCTTTGCAGTACCTCATTTCCGTCCAAAGGGGATTCAGCCGCGATTTCCTACTAGTATATAGACCGGTATGAGGTTGGTAACGATTCGAGAGCCACGCTGTACTATAGAAAACTTTGCTATAGAGTGTTTTACTTTTGATTTGGCTGAATGGAACTTTTAAAACTCTGCTTAATTTGAAGTAATTACAGCTGGAATCTTACGTTTTTACTATTGCTGGTGTCTGCAGCTCTCGCATATACCTATGTATCTCAACCTAATCTCAAAATATTATTTATTATATTTTTGTACACACTGTGCATAACTGTCGAACTATGATTCATTGTGTCTTCACC